GCGTGTTGACAGGGCTTCCATCTTCACCCAGTCCTCCTTCCGTGTTCTCGGGCTGTGGCCGCTTGAATGGCCAAGCCGTGATGATGTCATGGCTGTTTTGGCTACGGCACAGAGCTTTGAAGGAACAGCACAAGTATGCAGTTCCTTCAGAGCGCATGTGCCGGTGACGTCACTGGCTGAAGAAACATTAAATATCTCCCATTTATGAGATATTTCTTGTACCTACAGGTAAGCTTTGTTATCAGCTTACCTGTAGGTGCAAGTCTCCAAGCAGTGCACATTTTTTTTTTTTTACCTGCATAAAGATGTGCATATATTTTTTTATTTTTTTTTTACAAAGGTGAACATATCCTGTAATCTGTATCAAAAGCACATTCACAGGGTTTATCATGTATTCTAATGATTTTAGTTCACAACATTTTTTCTGTGTGGAAAATCCTTGTAACATGACAAAATGCATGAAAAACACATCTGAATGCACATGTTCTTAATTGAGATGAAGGGGAAAAAAAGAGGTGAAAAAAATCAACTGGAACACAAAAAATGTGCATGCAGAAAATGTGGTTTGAACCAACCCATACCCTCTCGACCGCCTGTTGAGCTAGTTGCCAAGATGCGTCTTTGCAGACCTCCCCATTCTTCAGACAATAAGCCTCCCCCCTGCCTAGTTCTAGAGTAAGCTGGGTGTACTGGTTGTGTCCAGTCACTGATTTTGATATGCAAAAAAGAGTTTTGTAACCTGTGCCAATGCCACTAGAAATAATCCTAACTGTACATCAACTGATCAACAAGCAAAGTAGATGTGATGTTACTAATCGGCCACTAGATGACTCATTCTACTGAGCATATTTATGAGGAACAGAATCAACACTGTATCATCTAACTGTAGCATAAAACTATAATGAGACATTGTTTACAAGCCTGACTTGAGAAACAAGAATGATGTAGGAGGACTATATAAAATTTAACGTTGAAAAAGAAAAGAATGGTAAACGACTATAGATGATGTCAGAGTGAAAGCTATCATGAATAGTCCCCGATCAGATATTACGAAAGAGTTTGGATTTCTAAATCCACGTTTAGGTCTTTAGAGGATAAGATGTCCTATTCTTTTTTATGCGTTAACTTTTATGTTATCTTTTGTGTCTATGAATTTATGAATTCACTGTTATTTATATTTTATCATAATTTTAAACCAGAACTTCACCTTTTCTGCCACTATAATTATTTTGTTTGGGCCAATAAAGTTAAAACTTTATCTTACCGTTGCAGAATGATCTGGCCGCTGAAGATGCTGTAATACATTGCAGTAGCTTGTACAGTAAGTGCTGTTATCTTCCTGCATGAGTACGAGCGTCCTCCCCTTTACTTACAGGGCACATCGGCCATTCAGGAACAGCCTTGTATTTTTATAAATGAATGCAAAGGATTCTTTGATTGGCCGAAATGTGACTCCATCCACCTACCTCCCCACCTTGGCCATTTAGAGAAAGCCTTGTATTCATTGATAGGAATGGCCGAGGTGCTGTGTAAATGACTCTCGCAAGCAAGGAATGTCGCTTGTGCCCGTGCAGGAAAATAGCAGAGCTTACTGTATGTAGCACAAGCTAGTACAATGTATTACAGCATCCCCAGCGACCAGATTGGTTTGCAATGGTAACAATTTGCTTTAACTAAGCAGCCTTAAACAGACTAAACAGACAGGAAAGCTGGCATTTTGGTTTAACTTTACCATTAGATGCTAATCTACAATGATATACATTTTTCTAGCAGGGTTATTTTTTTTACTTTTTGCTAAATGCTTAATTTATTTCAACCTTTGCCCTAGATTAAGTATATTTTCTATCTCCATTTTGTTTTAAGATTTTTGTAACTTTCTCAATATTTAGATATGAATAGTATTTAAAACATTTTTTTTAATAATTATTATAATTGCTTACTGTATAAGTAGTAAGCAGAGTTAAAGCAAAAAGTATGCTTGACTAAGATGGTGCTCACCTTGAAACGTGTTGCTTAGCAAGTAGGTAAACTGAGATTATTGTCCATAACACATCTAAGAAGCATTGTACAGTAGTGTGGATGCAGTCTTGCAGATTTACTCCTGATCAGCCCTGCCAGCAGCAGTGATCTTCAAGCAGCTTCCTTCTTACATCCTAAATGTTCATATGCAAGAAGTCCTGCACCTTTGTGAGTGCATTTTAGATATTTCATGATATTTTCAAGAACTTGCATTGTCACACTACATTGTTGTGCCCAATCTCAGGTTTTATTTGTGGAAAATGTATGTATTGTGTCTGTTTTGTTTTAGAGGTTCTATAAATTAGTCAGATTATTTATATAGACATTTTTCTGAGTTCCTTGATTACCAATAAACACCTTCCTTAAAATCGCATGAATATTTAATGATAAAGTGCTGACAGGTTACAATCACTAACTAGAATATATATGTATAATTTTATTTTTCCTAAAAGCAGTAGTAAAAAAAAAATCCCTGCAAAGCAATGGTATAATGGTATTTGTGTTTTTCTTCTGACATGTATTTATAAAGTTTTTTAAGAGTTTGAAATGCATTTTAAAGGATAAACTCACCTTTCAAGAAAAAAAATAATAAATGCACATATTTTTGTAGGAAAAAAATGTGCATTTATTATTTTCTCCAGCAGGAGCCTAGAAAACATTGATCAGTGGATCAGAGGTGCAATCATCAGGCTTCTGCAGACAAGCCCTGCAGCTTTCTGCCCATACCTCCATACAGGCTGTTTGTTAAAAGCTGCAGGACATGCAAATGACCTATGAGAGCACTCATTAGTGCCTTCACAGTTCATTCAGACCTACAAGCCCTCAGCTGCAGTGGATGATGCTAGTTGTAGTTCATTCATTCACAGGAAACTAAATGACACAGCTATGTGGGTGGAGCCTCACAGGGTTGCATTTTTAACTGCTTCCCTGCCGCCCTATAGCAGAACTACTACAGGGTGGCAGGGCTACATATGTATACATGATTTTGCATTCCCTGGTAGGGGGTGCGCGCTGCCCTGCCCATGCTGCCATTGGTGGCTACAGCTGTTGATCACTGGGTCCCAGACGGAGATTCCCCGCCAACACCCAGCGATCGCTGAGGAATAGTGAAAGGGGAGAGTCCTGTGTGTAAACAGCACAGATATCTCCCCTGTCAGCATGAACGGGGAGAAGCCTAGGAGGATCCTTTGCTGGTGTTGCATAGCCCTGACCTTGGAGAAGTTATGGCTTCCTGAGACCCCCCCCATAAGGATCAGCATTAACGCTATTATACAAGCAGCATTCTGGTGATTGCACATCCATATCAGGTGGTGGATTCCCATGTTGGATCATAAGCACTCTTGAGCATCGCAGCTGGTATTTCTGTTTTAATATCCTGTAAAACCATATATTTTAAGGATTTATCAAACCAGTTTTATCTGACTTCTTGTGCATAGTTGCCCCTAAATGGCTTATTTTCTGCCTGGTGTCCTGTCTGATTGTTTACCTTTTTTTTTCAACAGGTCTGTGATTGACACAATGCAGCATGCAGTATACATGTATGACATTTGCCACGTGATCATTGATAATCTGCAGTTCATGATGGGACAGGAAACAGCTGCATACTGATAAGTAAGAGGAGTTTTTTCTATGTCATATGTTCTCTATTCAGGCTGAACCCCCCTCAATAAACCACCAACACCAATGAAATTACCATAGGAAAACATTTAAACATACTTTTTTTGCATGCCACTGCTTGATTGAAAACCTGCACTGCCATTTAAAAAAAAACAGAAAAAAAAACATTAGTGGTCTATGGGGGGAAAAAAACTTTTTTCCCCCTGGGATTGTGCAAGATTTCACAGTTTACAAATAAGAGCTTCCTGAAAGACACTGGTGGTGTAGCCTTGGCAGGGGGAAGGGAGGCACTGCCTATGTCACAAGGGCCTCAGAAAACCGGGAAATATTAACAGAAAAAAAACCAAAAAAAAACCTAAAATGTGAGTTCACACAAATAACTTTCAATTTACATAGGACAAGAAAGTGTTTAGAGATTAGCATGCACCTGTGCTTTTCAGGTTTGGGGGAGAAAGGCCCACTTTAAAATATATATTTAGGGAAGGAAAAGGAGGGATCACGTTTATATCAATGCAGTGTTTACCAAACCTTGCTCCGTGGTGTACACATCACAATTCTAAAAAGGACCACCCATCTGCATTTCTAGGACCCATTTAGGATGTTGTCTGTTCCAAAATGTCCACTGGAATGCATTCATACCTTTTCAAAATTGTTTAACCAATAGTGTGCTGTTGTCTTATGTTTTTTACATCCCTAACTATGGATTTTAGATGACCTGTCTAAAGAGAGCCAGTGCTTCTCTTATTCTTGTACTTCCCTTCACTACCCAGTTACCATTCACCGGAAAGAAGGGAGAATAGGAAGCTTGTTACTTGGAGGACTGTTCGCTGCTCCCCATGTAACCATGCTATATGTCTGAGGGACCATCCATTGCCAAGAACTAGCACTGTCATGGGGAAGAAAGAGTGTAAGCCACATGCATTATTCATGATGTAATTTCACTTTCCAGAGTGAATGAAGAAGGGAAGTATAAGCAGCCAACAGTGGCTGGTATTAAAGTAAACCCATAGTGCCTTGCATGGGCAAAGGGCAGGTCCACTTTTAACCACCTCCCGCCCGCCGATGGATGCAAGGTGGTTCTCCGCCTGGGATACGTATGACGCCCTCCCATTCTCACCGCGCATGCGCGGCTCAGGGAGCACACAGGGCAGGTTCACTTTTAACCACCTCCCGCCCGCTATATAGTAATATGATGGACGCAAGGTGGTTCTCTCGTTCTGGGAGGACGCCGTATGACGCCCTCCCATTCTCACCGCGCATGCGCGGCTCAGGGAGCACACAGTGCGGCGATCGGCGGTGCGCTGTGTCCCTCGGACACAGCGGATCACGGAAAGAGCCGAAGATGTCGGCTCGGTCATGTGATCAGCTGTGTCCAATCACAGCTGATCACATGTAAACTGGGAAATGTCGGTTATCGGCATTTCTCTCTTCTTGAGCTGTCACGCTGACAGCTCGAAAGGAGAGGAGAGACGGTAATCGGCTTTCCACGGAGGGGACATGTACACTGATCATCAGGGCACTGATGATCAGTGTGCCCTGATCAGTGTAGCCTCAGCAGTGCCACCTGTCAGTGTCCATCAGTGCATTGTGTCAGTGCTCATCAGTGCCTCGTGCCAGTGCCCATCAGTGACACATATCAGTGTCTTCCAGTGCACATCAATGCCACATATCAGTGGCCATCTGAGCTGCCTTTCAGTGTCACCCATCAGTGCCAGTCAGTGCCACCTATCAATGCCAATCAGTGCCACCTATCAGTGCCGCCCATCAGTGCCAGTCAGTGCCGCCTATCAGTGCACATCAGTGCCAGTCAGTGCCGCCTAACAGTGTCAGTGCCGCCTGTCAGTGCCATCTATCAGTGCTGCCTTTCAGTGCCCATCAGTGATGTCTGTCAATGCCCATCAGTGCCACCTACCAGTGCCTCCTCATCAGTGCCACCTATCAGTGTCCATCAGTGCAGCCTATCAGTGCCCATCACTGCAGCCTCATCAGTAAACATCAGTGCAGGAGAAAAATCACTTATTTACAAAATTTTATAACAAAAACTAAGAAAAAACTTTTTTTTTTTCAAACTTTTCAGTGGTTTTTGGTTTGTTTAAGAAAAAAAAAAAAAAACCATGAGGTGATTAAATACCATCAAAATAAAGCTCTATCTGTCACAAAAAAATTATAAAAATTTCATATGGGTACAGTGTTGCATGACCGCACAATTGTCACTCAAAGTGCGACAGCGCTGAAAGCTGGAAATTGGCCTGGGCAGGAAGGGGGTATTAGTGCCCTGTAGGCTTGTGGTTAAAAAGAACCTAGAAGGAACTAGCTTGCAAATGTTTCTTTTCGTTTTGGAAAGCACAAGGAGGAAGTAGGGTGTAGCCAAAACTTGACAACCCCTGCCCGGTTATTTTTTTGTCTGTGTATCATTGGGGAAATTTCCCTTCCTTTCACCGATGCAACAGGAAGTTGGAAAAATTTCCCAAACTGTCTGGCTTCCACTTTTAGACAGTTGTCCCTGAAGCACATGTCCCTTTTGGAAGATTTTACCTTTTCTCTTGTTCTCTAAAATGTCAGATTTCCATTCACTTTCTTTCTCTGAGATTATTGTCATAGTACAAACACAGAGATAACTTTTCCCAGGCAGATAGCAATAAAAACTGAACAGGGGATCTAACCCTTCCTCACTCTTTTCAAGGCTAAAAAAATATATATATTTTTGTTGTAAATATGCATTTAAATCCCTTACCCCCTTCTACCAGCCCTTTAAACTGTTCTGACTGATTGGAGGCAGAGTTTCTGATCATTGACCACTGAAATTGGCAGTCACATGATCGGGAGCCCCTCTCATCAGTCCCGATCATAAACAGTGATGCTGCTCAGTCTGTATGCTGGCAGTGTGCTTTGAGCACAGAACATGGTGCAGCACATGAGCGTTAAGGCCCACCCTGTTGCTGCACATATACGTTAGGTGTTCAACAAGAGGTTAAATCCCCTTTTAAATATTTATTGCTATTTCTGTTGAGATTTACCCCCACATCCTGTCTTGTCAACCCCTGGGGCATTTCTGTTAGCCGAGGGTCCGAATCCCCTGTTCGCAGCTCACAGCACTTCCCAGGGTGTCACTTAGATGACATGAGGGCAAATCTGAGACACTGATAGCAATACAAACTGACACATCTAACCCTTTTCTGTTCAATCCAAACTGGAAAAAAAAAAAAAATTCTGCAGTTGAAGTGTGCAGTAATTTCTGTGCAGATGCTAAATGTATAAATAAATGCTTTGTGCAGACTGTGGAATACTATGGTTCTTGACTAATCCTTTCTCCCAGCTAAGTTATAACACGTGTCTTCCAGATTTGCATTGCAGGACTACATCATTGGTGCTTTCAGGAAGTTTGCCACGGATAATAACTGTCATGTGACTCTGGTCATTCACCCCCGGAAAGAAGATGATGACAAGGAATTGCAGACATCATCTATTTTTTGGCTCAGCAAAAGTAGGTCGATCATCTGTTTGGAACCATAATATACAAGCGAATATGAAATACCAATTACTTAATACATAGGGGTAAAAATGCCAATCGTGCAGCCTGTGAATACAGAATTAAAAAGGACTGCTAGACACTTGTATTGATGCTTACAAACCGCACTCTATTAATCCTGAATGAATTGTTCATTTGTTCACACCTGTCCTAATTGTAGGTATGGTTGCTGTGAAGTGACTGTTTACCACTTTAGACTAAGAAGACTTTGCAGAGGCTGATTACTATGTCATTTTACAGAATTACCAGGCAGGAAGGAAGCTGTATGTAGTAAAATGTCTCTCCATAGGAACAGGACTTCATCCCAGTTACACTAGATTAGCCAAATTATAGGGTGCATCTTTACTTGATGTTTCCTGAACAAAGCTGCACCATGTATATGTTGGTAGTAGTGTAAAGTATAACTAAACGTAAAACATATTTTTTTTTGTCTTGAACACAGCAAATATGGATTAGAACACCTATTAGGTTTTTACTGTGGTCTGTGTCCTTGTTAGGGGGAAACACCCTCTCTGTTTGTCCTGTTTACCATAATCATCGAAAATGAAAGTAAGGAAAACCCCAAATTTTATGTTGTTCCATGAAAATTACAGAGGGAAAAATTTCCATTGGGGAAAGCACTGGTGCTCTGGGGGACCCAAGGAATTCCCTTAACCACCTTCTAGTCGCCCGCCCGCAATGTACTGTGCACGGACTGCAGCTACAGGATCAGCAACGTACCCGTATGTCGCTGGTCTTTTGCCAACACGGGGCGCTTTGTCCAGCGGAATGCGTATCCTGGTAATTGGGACCCAGTGCTCATGTTATTGCTGTGCAATCACATGATCACGATGACAACAAAGCTTTTATTTTATCAATCTGATTCTTAAAAGCTTAACTTATGTTCCTGGAGCGCTGTGATTGGTTCACAGCTCTCACATGGCACATGGGGCTAATCACAGCACCCTGTACCATGTGACCAGCTGGAGCCAATCACAGATCACTATTATATTGAACTGTCAAGAACTTAACACATTCAGCTTTGCATTGCAGAGCAATAACCATTATTGTTCATGCAGTGCAAAGTGTAAAAAAAATCCGTGATCACCCCCCCAAAGTAGTAAAATGTTTACTACACACTAGTACAGCGGTTCTCAACCTGGGGGTCGCGACCCTTTGGGGGTCGAACGACACTTTCCCAGGGGTCGCCTAAGACCATCGGAAAACACATATTTCCGATGGCCTTAGGAACCGAGACACCGCTCCTTGATCCGTCTGCAGGTGTGGGCGGGATGACATGCCGTTCCTGTCATCTGGACACACCCCCGGGATCAATCCTTCCTCGTCGGTGATTGGCCGCCGGAACTGTAGCTCAAGAGAGGCACACAGGCGGCCAATCACCGGCGAGGAGGTGGAGCTTGGAAAGGAGGAGCCAAGCGGCACCGCGAAGCACGAGCGAGTGAAGAGGAGGAAAGCGGCCGGAGAAGGAAGCCATCTGACCGGTAAGTGTTTGTACCATGGGAGAGGGAGGGAGCGAGCGAGCCCAGGCTGGAGCAGGGGTCAGCAAGGTAAGTATCATTGGTGTCAGTGGGAGGAATAGTGCCAAATCATTGGTGTCACTATTACCAATGATGGGGCACTATTCCTCCCCCCACTGACTCCAACGATGGGGCACTATTCCTCCCACTGACACCAACGATGGGGCACTATTCCTCCCCCCACTGACTCCAACGATGGGGCACTATTCCTCCCACTGACACCAACGATGGGGCACTATTCCTCCCACTGACACCAACGATGGGGCACTATTCCTCCCACTGACACCAACGATGGGGCACTATTCCTCCCACTGACACCAACGATGGGGCACTATTCCTCCCACTGACACCAACGATGGGGCACTATTCCTCCCACTGACACCAACGATGGGGCACTATTCCTCCCACTGACACCAATGTTGGGGGCACTATTCCTCCCACTGACACCAATGTTGGGGCACTATTCCTCCCCCTGACGCCAACGATGGGGCACTATTCCTCCCACTGACACCAATGATGGGGGCACTATTCCTCCCACTGACACCAATAATGGGGCCGTATTCCCCCCACTGACACCAATGATGGGGCACTATTCCTCCCACTGACACCAGTGATGGGGCACTATTCCTCCCACTGACACCAGTGATGGGGCACTTTTCCTCCCACTGACACCAGTGATGGGACACTATTCCTCCCACTGACACCAGTGATGGGGCACTATTCCTCCCACTGACACCAGTGATGGGGCACTATTCCTCCCACTGACACCAGTGATGGGGCACTATTCCTCCCACTGACACCAGTGATGGGGCACTTTTCCTCCCACTGACACCAGTGATGGGACACTATTCCTCCCACTGACACCAGTGATGGGGCACTATTCCTCCCACTGACACCAGTGATGGGGCACTATTCCTCCCACTGACACCAGTGATGGGGCACTTTTCCTCCCACTGACACCAGTGATGGGACACTATTCCTCCCACTGACACCAGTGATGGGGCACTATTCCTCCCACTGACACCAGTGATGGGGCACTATTCCTCCCACTGACACCAGTGATGGGGCACTATTCCTCCCACTGACACCAGTGATGGGGCACTATTCCTCCCACTGACACCAGTGATGGGGCACTATTCCTCCCACTGACACCAGTGATGGGGCACTATTCCTCCCACTGACACCAGTGATGGGGCACTATTCCTCCCACTGACACCAGTGATGGGGCACTTTTGGGGCACTATTCCCACTGACACCAGTGATGGGGCACTATTCCTCCCACTGACACCAGTGATGGGGCACTATTCCTCCCACTGACACCAGTGATGGGGCACTATTCCTCCCACTGACACCAGTGATGGGGCACTATTCCTCCCACTGACACCAGTGATGGGGCACTATTCCTCCCACTGACACCAGTGATGGGGCACTTTTTCCTCCCACTGACACCAGTGATGGGACACTATTCCTCCCACTGACACCAGTGATGGGGCACTATTCCTCCCACTGACACCAGTGATGGGGCACTATTCCTCCCACTGACACCAGTGATGGGGCACTTTTCCTCCCACTGACACCAGTGATGGGACACTATTCCTCCCACTGACACCAGTGATGGGGCACTATTCCTCCCACTGACACCAGTGATGGGGCACTATTCCTCCCACTGACACCAATGATGGGGCACTATTCCCCCCACTGACACCAATAATGGGGCACTATTCCCCCCACTGACACCAATGATGGGGCACTATTCCCCCCACTGACACCTATGATGGGGCACTATTCCTCCCATTGACACCAACGATGGGGCACTATTCCTCCCCCCACTGACACCAACGATGGGGCACTATTCCCCCCCACTGACACCAATGATGGGGCACTATTTCTCCCCCCACTGACACCAATGATGGGGCACTATTCCTCCCCCCACTGACACCAATGATGGGGCACTATTCCTCCCCCCACTGACACCAATGATGGGGCACTATTCCTCCCACTGACACCAATGATGGGGCACTATTCCTACCACTGGCACCAATGATGGGGCACTATTCCTA